GACTGCAAATCGGAGTGGGTGTGAGGATCGGGCTCGGATTCGGATTCGGACTCGGATCGGTATCCAAATGGGCTCCTGGACAGATCGGTGTAGATCCCGTGTAAGGCTCGGTCGGCGTTGATGGCTCACTCTGTGACACTTTGGATTAGCGCTGCACACGACAAGTTGACACCGCTGTGCGCCGCGCGACACTGATCTGAATTCGACAAAGAAAGACCAAGCCGAACCGGGGGTTATGTGTCTGAAAATCTGAAATCAGAAATACGCAAGAGTCAGGCTTAATCAAATACTTTATGCATGTGTGTGCGGAAATACGCGCTGCGGCACCGAAACGAAGCGAACTGGGATTGGGATGGGGACAGGGATAGAGATTTGGACTGGGATGAGTATGGGTATGGGTATGGGCATAGGTGTGGGGGTGAAACTGGATGCCAGCCATGGCTCCAGTTCCACGTCGTGGAAGACGCGAGTCGCGGCGCGTGACACAATTTTCATTTAATTGAAGCCTAAGATGGCGGTGACTATCATGAGCTGGCTGCCTGACAAATCTAAATCCCAGTAGGCGAAAATTAACTATGCCGTTGATGATGGTGATGATGATGATGCCACTAATTGTCGCATGAAATATGGCTTCCTTTGACACTGAGCGCATGTTACACGTTTCAAGTTGGACTTGACGGTTGTTTGCATTTCATTTGGGCAGGTGACCTGCCGAGGGCAAAACATCGTCGCGGATTGGATTGGAAACGCATTGAAAAGTCGCCTCATTATTAATTTAGTTCGGTGTGAACGAGCCGCCGTCAGTGATCAATAATGTTAAATTTTTTACGTGGATGGCAAACAACGCGTTTTTCGCGAAACAGGTTCAAATTTGAATTCAAATTCGATACCTTACCGAAATCGATCAATTCGTACTTCACTAATCGGACTTCCGACACTTAAGCGCCACCTGGCCGGCAGCCGTGGTACCACCCAGTTGGGTGTGAGTCTCCGCTTTTGACGTTAGCTCAATGTCGCCGCTAGGTGTCGCAGAAGTATTATTTATTTTTATTATGTATACTTACTATTTAACCAAAAAATGAACCTGGACCGCTGCTCCTATGACCCCTGAAAAGGGCCATTGGAATTAACAATAGCATTAAAGTCAGCAGGAGCACAGTTATAACAAGGAAAATCGTAACGAGCGTCGTAGACTCCACCATTGGGAAGAATTCGATTGATGGTTCAATAACTAAATTTTGCTGTTGGACGAGGGCGATCAAAATGTAAAAATAAGTAGAATACAATCATAAGCAGGAAAAAGAGAATTAGTACGACTACAATTAAAGTGCTTATCAAACACTTCGTTTCCATAACTTTCGCCGTTCGATCCACAGACGGCTTGACTGTGATTAAAATCGAACACCCAAACGTACTGACAACTAACTCGAAGGCTAAATCTCAGAATGCTTGATGGCCAGAACCGATTTTTTGGAAAGGCAACTTACTTTGCTTATGTCGCATCCAGTGGTGAATCCGGGCTGGATTCTGGTTCCGCCACCAAAGTGGTCTTCTTAAAATCTTGTATCGGTAGCCAAGTGAGGGCTTCCGTGGGCCATGTTCTTTTCGAATGCGTGGATTGGTACGGACTGTCGATGATGAAGTAAATAAACAGCAGGTTCAGTGCGACGAGACACAGGGAAACCGAAATTCCAATTAGAAGCAAAACTAATTGCTGATTCATCTTTAATATTTATGTATAAGGCCCAAACTTCCGATTGGCGGAGCTTTAGCTCGCTCTACTGGATCCTGGAAAAATGTGTACAATTAAAATTATGATTGTATATATGTTTGGAATTAAATTGTGAAATTATATGATATACAAGTCATTGCACTCTTGGGTTTAGAAAAAGTTTGTAATTATACAGCTTAAAGTATGTGTTAAAGACCAAATGGAGTTCTTCATACCGGGCGTCTTGCGTGGAAATATACTTCATAGTCATAGCTCACATCCAGCACTATATAAGCGATCAACATAGTGTTGATAACAATAAGCATGGCAATAATAATGCCGAAAAAAACCACTATATACCTTTGGTCCATCTTGGACCCCAGTAAAGTTTTTATAATGTTCTAAAAAGTGTGTTGTATCAGTAGTTTTGTTTGAATAACCTGGGCTAAAAATTTGATTTAACTTGACAGACTAGTCAAGCACTTTTCGTTCGATTTTTGCAAGTCTTATTTTCTGAATGTATTTATTTTGCCTTATAAGTCCGGCTATCAAGTAGGTCCTCTAATTAAGATAACACCGAAACTGAATGGAAATGCTTTACACACATCTCTGCAGCTTACAATTTCCTGTTTCATTTCAACAGGAGTAAAAAAAAATCCCTTTTCAATGTCTTATGTTCAAGTTTTTTAAGAAGGTGATATATCAATATACCTATAACTTACATGTCAATGTGTTATTCATAGCCAGACAGTAAATTTGTAAATTATATAAGTGACAGGAATATTTCGTAAGTAAAACCCCACATACTCTTAACTATACGGTGCTGATTAACCCTTTTCCATTCTGCAGTCGCTGGCGGATTTATCAATTATCAATTAACGATGACGGGCCCTCAGACAATTGTAGTCTATGGCTTGATTGGCATTCTAGTCATCGCTATTGTGATCATATCTATTGTTTTGATCGCTGAATTGTACATTCAGGATCCAAATCGTAAATCTACAAACGAGACGACGACGGAAGAAACCTGGAAATCCACTTAGTGGGGCAGAGGAAGTCCATTGTTCCGATTTGTACAATACTTGGCATATCAAATAAAATTTGGTTAAATTGTTACTAAAATTCCATTTTAATATATATATTTTGGTATCAGCAGAATCAATGTGTTATAATTTATTTTATAAATTAAATTATTTATTAAATTTTAATTAATTATTGAAATATTAATTTTAATATTTAAAATTAACTAATGATAAAATAAATTTCTCGTCTCCCTTAAGTTGACATAAGCATATCGTTGGCATGCGCGACATGCCCCAGTGGCCTAATGGATAAGGCATCGGCCTCCTAAGCCGGGGATTGTGGGTTCGAGTCCCATCTGGGGTAAGTGTTAGATCTTTTTGATGCAATTCTTTTTTACAACCCTTGGTGGTGAAAACGCAGTGTTCGATTTCTTGTATTTATTAAAAATCAAGGCCTAAAAATCTGCATCTTGATGGAAGCTGCATCCAATCGAGTTTCCAACCAACACGCGCAACACAACATGATCCAACGGCTCAGTTCCGCCGTTTATGTGGGTCGTCCGTAGTCAGAGCCGCTTAGAAGCCACCTGAGGGAGGATGTCAGGATAAGGGTCGATGAATAGGGCAACTAAAACACTTGCTTACACGCGACGCAAGGTGTAGATTGGAGGGATTGGGCGATCCCAAGTGGGGAAACTAGCAACAGCATTTTGGCGGAGTGTTGTAGCAGTGGGCTTTGCACGGAGCACACCACACACAGGGCGCGTTATCCTTGTTCACAAGGTAACGCCTGGGGCAAGGAGCTTTGGGAGAAGGACGAATAGTCACACTGATCGCTGGGACCAACTTCTCCGCCGCTGTGGCCCACGCAGTCCAGTGCCTCTCCGTGCATCTCAAGATTCGCCAGCGGACGGACGGACAGAATTTTTGGGTTCGGATTGTGGAGTGGTAGCAGTTTTCTCGGGACCGGACTTACATGGATACGTGGGGGGCGTGTTGTAGTAGTTCCAGACACGCGGATCGGGAATGCCGCCTTCGGGCAGCGGAGGGCAGCACATGCCCGGCGCAGGGGAGCACGGGATGGGAGACGGGGCTCCACATGGCGGACTGTGGGGGCCACAGCAGGGTGTTTCATTACAGGGTCCACAGCATCCACATCCGTTGCACATGTTGAGTTTGTCTGCGAGTGGAAAATTATAATAAGATGTTACCCTATACCCGTTAACTTATCTCTCACTTTTTTGGTTGAGTTATTCTCGAAAAAATAAATTTGGAATTTAGAAAAATTTAGAAGTCGAAGCGACTGGTCCGAGAGTCAGATATCGAATGAGGATAGCTGTTCCCTTGGCCCAGCACATCCAGTTCAAATTTCGGTTCGGGCTGGCTGAAGAGTCATGGCCAACTTTATGAAATTCCATGGCCTACTTTAACTTGGCAAATATCATAAAATGCCCGAAGTAACCGCACACATTTCAGGTTCCTTTTACATCTACTGATAAATATTATATATAAAACTTGAACCGCGGATTGTTTAGGTCAACTGACTAATTAAGATTGCAACAAGGCTCTTCCAGCACCAAAGAAATTGGGCCTACAACAGGTGCTATTAGAATCTTAATTAATTAATTATATTAATTAATGAGTTTGCTTTATTTTCATAAAATTTTTATAATATTTTTGCTTAAAGTCAGCTTAAATGTACTTTACAGAGATTAGATTTTAAGGCATCTTACAACTGAAAATTTGTACAATTTATTGATTCAACATTTTAAAGCAAGGAAAAAGTGGTACAAAAAACCTTGAGCAGATGAACTTAGAACTATATTATAACTAACTTACCAACTAAAGAGCCAAAACTTCAGTAAAACTAACTTGGGCTAGTGAGTGAAGGATCTGCTCGCACTTGGTTGTGTATAATAGATAATTATAGATAATTATAATTTAATTTGAAATTAAATTTATTTTTATATTTGCTTTATCGTGCAATTTACAAGTTGAAAAATAAAAGGGAAGATTGAGGATCATTTTTAAAATCTTATTTTGAGTTGTTTGCAATTTTCTAATATGAATATGTGCACAATTTCCCCAAATCTCAGAACCGTAATATTAAAATCTTGAATGCCACGGACTATATGGACATTTCATTGTTTTAACCATAATTTGCCATTAAGCAGGCTTCAAAAATGAGCTCGAAACCGATTGGACCAAATGCAGCCATTAATTAAATGCTGCCTAAAACCCCCTCAATGCATACAAAGAAAGTAATCTTAATTTGTTTATTTTGTAATTAAATGCCGAATAGATTCCAGAGACCAACATATGATTTTGCGTTTAAATCAAGACAGTCGGACGAATTTCACATTGGAGCCCAAAAAGCTTTGGGCCCTTCTAGTATTGGGTATTCCGCAGCTGGCTCCATCTTGATTTAAGACTTCTTCAATTTATAATCAACCAAAAGTGCGCCACAAAACGACAACATGTCCCGCCAAGGAAGTGGCCCATCAGGATCCGATCGAAACACTTGCCAGGAACTACTTAGAAACCACCTGTGGGATGAGATGGGTAATACCAATGAATGCGGAAGGTATCGCAGCTACTTACACGCGACGGAATGCGGAAGGAGGTCATACTGAAGGATTTGGGGCCTGGCAACAGCATTTGGTCCATAGATCCTACACCTGCGCCCACCAAACACAGGACATGCTATCCTTGTTGACGGATCAGCGTTTAGGGCATGAAGCTCCTGCAGAAGGACATGAAGCGTCACCACAGGCAGATACTCCAGATGCTGTGACCAGCAAAGTCCTCGGGCATGCCTCCTGCTCCTCCGCTCCATGGCTCTTACGTTCTACGGACTACCCCCACCGATTGGGGGGTAGATCAATCTACAGATTGACAGACGGACGGGCGGGCGGACGGGTTGACGGACAGAGACCCGGACCGGACTTACATGGGTACGTCACAGGTGCGTTACAGCAATTCCAGACACGCGGATCGGGAATGCCGCCTTCGGGCAGCGGAGGGCAGCACATGCCCGGAGCAGAAGAGCAGGGAATGGGCGACGGGGCTCCACATGGAGGACTGTGCGGGCCACAGCAGGGCGATACATTACAGCAGCAGGGACCGCATCCACAGCAGCCGCCGGCGACGCGTCCGCCGCATCCGGCACCGCCGTTGGGCGCTCCAGTGGCGGCACAGCGCATCCGCTTGTTGTTCACGCCCATCATCATGTTGGCGTAGCGCAGCGGGAATGCCGCCGGTCCGCAGGTGGGGAACGGGAAGCACAGGCAGGCCGGCCTGCCCTGGCAGGCGGACCGCGGACACTTGTCCTGCAGACCGTTCCGCTTCACGCAGTCGCAGGTGGTGTACATGATGCCGCATCGCAACTCCCGGCTGCGGCATCCGCGCGGCTGGAAGGGATGCCGTATAGGTCAAGTGGCCACAGTTACTCACATAGTTACTCACCTCCAGCGATCCACATCCGTCACACATCTTGAGTCCGTCGAGCGCTGCAGGACAACGAATTAAGCATATAGGTGGGCATGACCAAGGTAAACTTACTTTATTTGGCCAGATTAATTTCGAAAAAAAATTTGGAATTTTGTAAATTTAGAAGCTGGCCGAAACGAAAGGTCCGAGAGTGTAGTATCGAATGAGCAGAGGGTCCCACATCCCTGACCATGTTCGGTTCCGTTTGAGATGACATGCATGGCCAACTGGTTAGGAAAATGGGCACCCTTTTTCTTGAATTCAGATTCGAAAGAGTTCATTTAGATTCAAGCTTTTTCGCTCTTTCCAAAAGCTCTGCCTTCAGCTAATAGTATTATGAGATTGCCCAGCAGTTCAGTCCGAGTTCCCAAGCTGATCGGGTTGGAGCAATGCCCAACATTGCAGTCATCGGTGCCGGGGTCAATGGTGTTGCCAGTGCCATTAGGCTGCTGGAGCACTACGTGCAGGAGGCAAGGAGGCCGATAAGGGTAACGATTATATCGGAGGACTTCACGCCGAACACCACGGGAGATGGCTCGGCGGGTCTCTGGGGTCCCTACCTTCTGGGCGGCACTTCACAGTCGAAAGTCCAGTGAGTACAACTCGGCAGCACTGTCCCACTTCACATAACCGACTACTTATCTGCGATCAGCAAGTGGTCGAGGAGCATGCACCGGTTTCTGGAGCAGATCTGGCTGAGCGAGGATGCCGCGGAGGCGGGGGTCTGTCTACTGCCCTGCATCCGGCTGACCACCTCAACGGTGGACACGGTTGGTGATTTCTGGCGCGACATTGTCTACGGCGCCGTTGATCTGTCCAAGGACCAGCTGGCTGCCTACAACAAAGGTCGCAGCTATATGTTCACGTAAGGACATTCGAGATATGCGAGTTTACACGAAACTAACACATTTCTAGGTCAGGCATATCCTTCGTGACCTACACCTCGGAGCCAGTTAAACTCCTGCCGTACTTGATGAAGCGATTCATTCGCAATGGCGGCCTAGTTGTCCGGCAAAGGATAACAGACTTGGAGGCTTTTATCGCCGATTCCGAGTACGATGTGATAGTCAATTGCACCGGACTGGGCTCCAGGAGCCTACTGAATGACGATCAGATGTACGCAGTGCGGGGACAAGTGTCCCGGGTGAAGGCGAGTTGGATTTTCTCGGCCGTGCTGGACGAGAGCGATGATGGCAACTACATTATACCCAAGTGAGTAACAGGTGTTCAACTTGCTGGTTGGTATTGCTACATCATCAGTATTCAAGCACCGAGAGCGTTGTCCTGGGCGGAACCCATCAGGAGCGGGACTACAACACCCAGGTCTGCCAGCAGGACAGGCGGATGATTGTGGATGGCTGCCGGCGGTACATTCCGGGTCTGGAGCACACGGAGTGCCTCCACGACTGGGTGGGTCTCCGCCCGGGTCGCACCCAACTCCGGCTGGAGGCCGAGCGACGCGGACGCAAGCTCCTCGTCCACAACTATGGACATGGCGGCAGTGGAGTCACTTTGTGCTGGGGCTGTGCCGACGAGGTCCTCGATATCCTGCTGGCCGCCCAGAGCGGCGCCAAACTTTGAGTCACTTTGCCCAGCTAGACTCATTCGAACTCCAATAATACAGTGCTTGTAGAAAATTTGCAGTGAGAAACATCTTTGTCTACATAGTAAGAAATCATTCATATATATTCATTCTATATTCAAATCTATTTGATATTATAAATTTATCAGAAATGTTAAATGGATCTTATTAGGTTAACGCAAGCTGATTTTTCTCTGTGCAGCACTATCGCAATGGAATGGGGATCGCATTGATAGGCTTATCACTGATTAGTTGGAGACGTACCTCCTGTCCACCCCCCGAAATTGGCGCTCCCCTGGTGCCTGCAATTAAGTACTTTTCCAAGTGAAGCAGGGGAAAACGAGTCTGCAGCCCAAGAGTAGGCAGACATTTATGTGCAGATGACGGCGGAAAAACATATCAGATATCGTCGTCGTGTCGCTTTTCGGCTGCCTCCTTGGCCAGCCTGGCGTCCAGGGCCTCGTGGAACGCCTCGAATCCGGGCATTTCGATGTACTTTTGTACCGGCGAGACAGCCAGCTCGAACAGCAGGGCGTACATCTCGTCCAGCTCGCGCAGGATGTCAAAGGGACGGGTGTTGCCCACCTTGTAGATCGAGTAGATGGTCCGCCCGACCTCTTCGTACTCGATCAGACTGGCGGCCTCCTGGTCCACGGAGCTCAGGGCGATGAAGTGGACCCGCGGCATGTGCATGTGCTGGGCCACGAAGCCGAACACATCGAAGATGGTCGCCAGGAAGTCCTGGTTGAAGTAGAGCTCATCCGGAAAGGCGATCTCGTGGACGAACAGCGCGTCGTAGGTGGAGACGCCCAGGCTCGCCTTGGTCGCATCGATGAGCTCCTTCTTCATCATAATGATCTGCTGGAACAGATTCCGCGGCAGGGAAGAGGGAAAGAAAACCCTGCGGCGAAAGGAGACGTATTACTAGTGATTATGAGGCTGCTCGAAATGGGTTTATTGGTCATACCAGGAGTGCCACTCCTCGGTCATCCATTCCAGCAAGCCCACTGCTCTTATTTGCGTTTCGTCCTCGCTGATCATCATCACGGAGCACTCGTTTCGCAGGATGTGGCGCACATACCTTTAAACCAACATATAACACTTTTTATATCCCCAGAAACAAATAGAAAGGAATGATTTTTACCAGGAATACGTCTCTTTCATGTTCGGCAAATCAAATAGTCCCAGGCTCTCATAGACTAGACTTTTCAAAAACGATTGGGACCACATGAACTCGATCACCATGTCGTAGTACCTGAATGCATTTCACAAATTTAATCTCTCAACTTTTAATCTCTGCCACCATACATGCTTCGAATTGATGTCGACTATTTGCATGCCCTCAAAAACTTCCCATTGGATATCGTATCGCAAGGTGCGGACATCTTCCATCGCAGTTAGGTCACTAAGAATTTTAAAACTACTAACGATTTTTATGTTATTTATAGGAGCTGAAAGCGAGAAGTTGAAAGTGTGAAACTAAAGCTAAAAAATGGAGAACAAAATCAGAGCATACTTTTTGGGTCAATCCAAAGAAGGACGTTTGTGCTCTCAACCTTTAATGGTACTTCCTGTCTTAGATTACGTACATTTGAGTTTACTGAAGGCTTCTGGGATGTTTGGCATAGAAGGTGAGTATTACCTTTGTCTATTAATATAGAAAAACTCCTGGCTGGAAAATTGGAATTGAGGTTGCATACTTCTTGGATGGCATTCACGTGGCTTGTAAAACTGTTCAACATATTGTTTTCCGCATACGATGGTGTTAAATTGGATATTCCATATCCGAGCGGAATGGCCGTAAATGTTTATTTGTATTACAAAATGCAAATGCGCTGTTTTGAATAATGTCATAATTAAACGAATATACTGGCGGTAACAATCAAGGGTGATACGTGTAAATTTAATTTGTCTAATGTCTCAATTTGAATAAATTGCCACCACATAAAAGCAAATGCAGCCCAAAAGAATGTAAATAACAATCGCACCCATTTGTGGGTGAAATTCAGTGGAAGGCGAACATCGTGGTAACCAAACCAATTCCACCCTCGAGCGAAAAAATTTCCAAGCTGAGAACACGTTCTGGCACACACCTTGGATTCCTTATTTTAAAATTCAAAGACCATCGGGTGTCATTTACTAGGCAACAAACCAATTGAATAACCGAATTTGGCTCGGATGCTCATCCTTGACGGGGGTCCTCGTTGCCTGCCCACCCAAAGGATCCCTTCTCAGCAAGACAGCGCATTTTGAAATGTTTCACATCCTTGTCCGTGAGACAATTGGATATTTAAATACAAGCGACACTTTTAATGGCTGGCATCGGGTGTCGATTGGACCGCTGCCACTCGTATTTGCGGCATAGCTATTCCGGACACGTATGCCGCCGCCTCATGTCGCCCTGATAAATTCAATATCGAAAAGAAATAACTTAATTTTGGCACTATGCGAAGGGGATTGGTTTAAAAGCGCCCCTCCCTTGCAAAGGGGCGGCATGGATCTTGGTGGAGCTGAAGGAGCTGAAGGAGCTGCAGGAAGGCCATCAGGAGCATTAGGCAGCGGCTTTGGAGAGCAGCGTAATGCGGCTAAGTCCGCAGTGGACTTTATGATGTTGCATAAAGTGTGTGGGGCATAAAAACGTCTCATTTGGGACTCATTTAATCCGCCAAATTGTTTGCACACAATCGCCCTCGCCACACCCACCGCCGAGCATCCTTTCTGCCACAAAAGGTAAACGATTCGGGGCGCAACAATGGCGGGTTTGAATTCATTCGAAAATCGCTTTACGTCCGCCCGGCGGTTTAGCATGTTTTTCAGCGCACACCTGTGCATTCCCTCGGAATCGCGAGCTGGGTGGTGCTGGTGGTGCACAGTGGTGGTGCTGTTCCGGTGGGTCTGGTGGGTCTGGGAGGCGCCACTGTCAGCCGTGACTTGCACTCGCCGCGTTCATTTAAAATCGAAAATACACAACGCAATGAAATGCAGCCGAAAAGCAAAGGTGTCGGCAGATAAACGGCAGATACTACAACGAACTTTATATATTCTAAAGATATTCAAAATATATATAATACCATTATATATAATATACTGTGACAACTGTTGCTGTATCACTTACCATCTAAAGAGTAGTGATGCGGATATTAAGCCACACATTTAAATTGAATTGCCTATTACCTTAAGCCGAAGCTTCGAATAAATTGGTGTTCCCTGCATCCCAATTAACCAACTAACCCTTGACAGGGTATGCCAGTGCAATGTGATTGCGATGGCTGAAAAAGCCGGTTGACAATGGATTGCGGGCTGGTTGGAATGGACCACGCTGGCTGGGATTCTGGTGGATGGTGTGGGATTCTGGGAGATGTGCACTTGTTAGCCGCAAGGTGTTTGCAACCTCATCATCGGCAACCCACTTTCCCACTTTCCCATGCCCATTTCATCCGGCTGAAGCTTCGCGGTTGTCGAAAGGCAAACAAATAAACAAACAAGTCGTCAGCCAGGGTTCAACAAAAGCAAAGTGCTCAAAGTAATTCAAAATACAGTCAAACGGGGAAGGAGTTGGATAATCTCTCTGTGTCCTGCAGTAGTGTTCCCCATGTTTGATTATTTAGCGTTTAAAAAGCGTTTAGTCCTCGCTGTACGCATCTACGTAAGTATCTTTCTGATTCACTGCTCTGCAGATGTTGAAATACATACAATTTTTCCTTGCAACTTTTCTCGACAATGATTTTCCCGTTCACTGTGGGGTAGAATTGCGTAGTGAGAGCGATCATGGCTCATAATTACGCTTGTAAAAACAAATTAAACTTCAGTATTATACTCCATTTTGGCTCTAATAAACTTGGTTGTCTGCTGGCTGATTTCGGGACTTAAAATGGCTTTACCAAAGGCAAGGGAGGCTCCTTTTTTTGGCAACTTGAAACAATGCTGTAAGCAAAGCCTTTTTCAAGCCAAAAGTAGCTATGCTATAGGTATTAGAAGGCAACAAAATATGCTTTTTATTTGTACACTTTTTTAATTTCCATCAAGAAAAACTAATATAATTTTAATAGAGGCAAACAGTGGTTGCACGTAGTGACGAAGCGCACTACTGTCACTGTTTAAGTAGTTACGAGATTGCTTTGCCTTACTAGTTTAGCTTAGAAGGATAAGCTAGATGGCTGCTAAATGTTTAGCAACTCTAAGGGTTTTAGCCATTTCCGAGGTCTTCGATGGGCAGCACTGCACGGCATTCCGGCCTTCAAGAAAGACGTTAAGAAACTTCGGGCTCGCTTTTAACTCAGTTAGGTCGCTTGCGACTTATGCAAAACTTTTCAATTGCCTCTTATTACAGTTGTTATTGCTGTTGCCGCGCGCTTTTCACTGTTGCGCGGACTCGAGTGAAATGCAAATTTATTCAAAATGGGGGAAAATGGAAAAGTTAGCCGTGTCTGCAAACTGCGAGTGGAAGGGCTACGGCCATAATTAAATATCATATTTTCGCATTTATATTTGCATTTCGGCGAGCCATTTCATTTCATTTCTCTCTTAATTTGTTTTGCCCCAGAATTCCCTTAAGGTTTGGCGAACTGAAGAACACCCAGGATTGGAAAAAACTGAAGCAATTGACATATGGAAAATGCCATTTCCCCATTAGCTGCACGCGATTTTCCAATAAAATTCCAATGGGAAAATCAAATTCCGGGCCAAAAGAGTTGGCTGACCAGCGGCGGCGGCTGAAATCAGTTACAACTATGGCCAGTTATCTCAGCGGGTCATCTCCACGAAAGGACAATTATCGGCGGACATGCTAATCTGTGCGTGGCCAAAGGACTCTGGCGAAACAAAAAAATGGGTAAAGCAGAATACCTCAATATTTGTTGACGGAACGTGATTTGGCGCATTTTCAGTCGCCGCCGTGAAATGGAGCCACCAACAACATGCGACCGCGCCCATCATGAGCACATCCAAGGGCGCAGGCCACACCCACCAAGGCCCACACTTCCACTTGGAGGTGCACCAAGGAAAACTGGGCACAAAGGATTAGATTCCTGGATTGTTTCATATTCATATGGATATCATATTCAAAACGTATCCCAATTGAATAAAATGAATACTATTTTTCAAAGAAGGGCTTAGGATAAATTAGAGAAATATTTAAAGATGTTTTAATATAAAAGAGGAGCAGCATTACTTCAAAGCTACTACTCTCCAATGAAAAACTAAGACATACTATTGAATTAACGCTTGTAGAAGTAAAACTGTCCGTGCTCAGGGCTCATAATTGTTTTCACTGTATTCGGAGGCACCTCCCGCGGTGCGTTTTCCAGAAATATGCAATACGCTGTGTCCAGGCTGAGCAAACAGGCGCTTAACCAGAACCCTTCTGGAGCCACCACATGGAGGAATCACGAAGCGTATCCGCTGAACACGCAAGTTGAAGGGTTAATTAATTTAATGCGCTAACCCGATCCGCGGAAACGGGGCTCTTCTAACTAGACTATACTGAAATATATGTGCGGAAGGAAACTGAAAAGCTATTTGAAACCACTCAAGGAAGAGCCACCATCTCATCCGGAACTTATCGAAACTCCGCCTCCGAAGACGTGGAAGGCCACACCCTTAGCTTTCCCAGGAAGTTCACGTCTTTGATGTAAACTTTGAAGAAAGGAGGGAGGGGCAGTCCTGGCCCCAAGCTATACCTTTTCAATTTTCCGCATCGGAAATGACTTTACCTTCTGGGTGCGCCGTAATGGAGTCTGTGGCGAATCTTGATTAGCTTCAGCTAGAAAGAATGAAATGATTCTCGCCCCATGCGAATCGTGCGACCCATGCGACCAATTAAAGTCGTTTCCCTGCTAATTATAAACTTATTTTCAATTAATCATGCCGTCAGTACTTTGGGGGCGGGCGCAGGCAGAAGGGGGCGGGGCAGCCGCGATGTCAACGCCAATTGATGGCTGACTCCGACTCCGATATTGGTCCTTGAATAATTCAGCAGGACATCGCCGCTGCCGTTGATTCCAATTGATGGCGAAGTGCCGAGCGTCTTGTTACCAGCTCCTTCGTGTCTGGCGCCCACTAAATTATTCCACAAAAAAGGAGCATCGATGGCCCCGCTTGGGGACACCATCCTGATCATCATCAACAGCCTATCCACCTGCCATTAACCACGCTTAACCTGACAGCATCCTTATGCGACTGCGGCCCAGCACGGCGATAAACATTAAGTTGTCAATAAAGGTAATTCATTATGTCGCACTCGAATACCCGGGGGAGCAACTCTGCGGCTTCGCCTTCGGAGGCACACGTATCCTGGGCATCCATCCAGCCATACAGCCTCCTTTGGAGGCTTTGACAGTCGCTCTCGCTCCGTGGTTAAATATTCCCTTGTATAGGCAATAAAAACGCTTATTGCGCAATGTTTGCCCGCAGCCAAACGCGTTGAGGTCGCCGTTGCAAGCACTCAAATGGAGCTTTTATTGGCAGCCGTATGATGTGGCAGCTGAAGAAAT